CAGAAATGTCATCGATTAATGGCGGAGGTGTTGAGGCATAAAGATCGGTGGGCTGTCTGTTTGTTGCAGCCTCCTCTGAACTTGTCTGGGAGTACACAATTGGCTTTCTAATAGTTGCGTAGTTACATATAACCAACAGAACTTACGGTTTTCGTTTCCCGTGCCGATCCATGGGAATTGTGGCATCGGACGAAAAGATATTTGTGTGCTCCAGTAGGTAGTTGGAAATGGCCCTGGCCTCCTCGAAGTTGTCTAACATTCCAAATTAAAATCAAATTCACTTACCGACTACTTTATGCACTGTTACTTTGTGAATTGTGCACCGGGGTGGTGGTGGTAAACCCTGTTTTACGATACGTTCGATGTTGAACATACCGTGAGTAGGCCATTTAGCTCTATCAGGGCGGACCATCCACGAGGCAGGAACTACTGTCACCGTATCCTCCGAGATGAACTCAACAACGTAAAACATCTGCATTTATAAGAAAGATCATTTGTATGTTGATATCTTACGGTCAAGAGCGCCAACTGTGAATAATTGGGTAGAAAACATACGCGTACTCATAAGGTATCAACATATCTTTACATAATATTTTTGCAATCTCACAGTGTTTGATTGACTCGCTTAGATAGTCACACAAATATATACCCGAATGTGAGGATGGAAACGGACAGTCGAAGAACTCTGATGCCGACACAAATGTTCGTACACCCACTAACTCATCCTCTAAAGAAACCACCATTCTTGGCTTACAACCAATGAGTACGTAGTTGTCCGGGTGCTCNGTTCCGTAAACCGTTCCATCAAACGCAATGCAATGGTTTTTCAAACCTGGACGTCGAATAGCGTAAGACGTGGTATCATCCCAACAATTTATTTTGTCCGTAGCAGCTCTTTGACCAGCACGTTCGATTGTTCGACGGAAGATCTGTTCTGCAAGCATAGATCTAGATAAAACATACTAGCGTATTGTCTGCATGAAACTTTCATATGGATATGCTGAAAAGTTATCCAATACGCCGTGTCGTCGTACATCGTCGCACAGATGGGTCCACACATGTACGTTATACACCCCCTCTGCCTCTCCGTATAGCTGCATGAAATGGACTACCACCGCAGGCGCTTGTTTCTGAATGTAGTCTAAATAATGGTCAGCGAACGTGGTGCTACAAAGGATGTACGTGTATTCTGAAAAGTCTAGGAAGTTTTTGTAGTTATCAGGTGGCAATACTTTCCGTAAAACCACAGGTCCGAGGTACAGAAGAAATTGTTGATATTCCGTGGCCTTCCAGAACTCAATATCACCCAAACCACGGCATTTTCGTGGAAACTCACATGTGAGTGATTGACATGCCAACTGTAAGTTTTCTCCCAATATTTTCCAATGGGATACACTTATGGGTGAACGTTTGTCTCCACCAGGTTTTCGCCACAAACTTAGCAGCCTTTTCATTATTCCCAGGCACACCGAATGCATATAGTCCGTTGGAAACGTGCCGACCATATCAATGGGAAGCTGCTCAAATGGAGACAATCCGGTGTGATGTTCATCTTGCAATCGCAGACGAAAATCGTAGTCCGTCCTTAGTTTACCTCCACGAGCTTTAAACACCATTCGTCGAGAACAACTGCTGCCCTTCTGAGTGCAAAATGGGCAACAAAAATGGCCCGTGTGTGATTTAATCTGTTTTAACAATGCCTTAGCAGGAGCATCAGCAATGACACTGTCCAGCTGCACACCATGCTTGCGACCGTATTCAACATCCCAGACACCATCTTCCATCAACAGCCGAAGGTCTTCAATCAACGGAGTTAGAAACGCGCGAACATCAGTCGGCTTGGACATCCCACAATACAAACCAACAATGAATATCTTAGATTTCGGGTATAACAGACGACCCAAAATTGGC